AGATGTAATCCTCTAGCTAGTCGAAGATACTAATATACTGCGGTATAGGGTTATAGTACGTACCGCGGTATAAGTTAATATTATATACTACGATATAGAGAATTATAGTATATACTATAGTATAGAGAATTATAGTATATACCGTAGTATAAGTTAATAGTATATACCGCGGTATCGGTAGCGGTAATAATATAGGAAATGCTTGCTATAAACACTTATACGCGAGTCTAATACGGCTAGGAGCTATCGTTAAGGAGCGCGTCGATAAAAGTTCTAAGCTCTTTAGTTTCGCTAAGACCTTCGCGATAATAGCTCTAAAGGTAGCGAATCTATTAATCTTAGAAAGGTATATTATTAAAATCTTAGAAATAATAGTATTAAGGCGGCCTATTAACGTTTTAGAGAGCGAGCGTATAGGCTTTAGCAAGAATAAAGTTAAGACTATCCGCCTATCTATTAGTCTCTAGAAAGGAGTAGAGTACGCAAGCTACTTAGTAGTAGATACCTACTATAACTTAGACTTATCTAGTCTTCTCGTTATCGTCGTTCTAATTAATATAGATAGAATTAATTAATAACTACTCGATATTCGAAGCAAGCGATCTTCGTTAGCAAAGCGGGAGCGAGCAGTTCTCTCGGGCTTCGAATATAGCATAACCGTCGGCATATTTGACGACGATCGCTATAGTAAGCTCTACGGAGCCCTATATATATAAGATAGTATAGTATTTAGGCGGCAGCTCGATGTTAGAGGGGTGCATCTGGCAACGACAGTCGGATTCAGCCGAGACATCCTCGAACACCCGAAGCGGACGATTCTGTTTAGTAGACGATAAGAGAGCCGAGGACTGGAAGCTAGTGCCATGGGCCATAATACTTTTAGGATGAAAAGGTGAAGGGAATCGATTCGATTGCGGCAGAGCTGCATCCTGTCTTGGCTGAGGATCGAAACTACTGCGAGTACTAATACCGTCGTAGCGAGCTTCTCACTGTCTTCATCACAGCCTTGGCTTGATACAATGAAACCCTGTAGAAATTCTCACTTTCCTCCAATTCACCCTACTCATCTCAAGCGCATCTACGGCAAGTCGGCCAGCTGAATCACACTGACCCAGATGGTGTGCCTGTTCTCGCTATAGGCAACTGCAAGCTTGTCACCGACCTCGGCAGCAGATGGCCAGTAGAATCCTGGCAGTCCACTGTGAATAGCTGGACGAGTACCCGCATCGACCACCGAATCCGCATCACCTCCACGCACAATACCAATGTTGTTGAAAGCAGGATCAGAACCGCGGGATGTTGCGACAGTCAGGATGATCTGGTCTAGCTTGTCGTTCATCCCGGCGTTGGAGACATAGTAGCGAAGCTGTTCTTGGCTATCAAACGCTCCGTAATGAGCTTTTTCGGCCTCCTGGTAGATGTTGGTCTCATCAATGGCACCTCCATTGGTCGTGGCTGGAAACCAGTTCGCTCCATTCCTGTCTGTGCTGTACTCAACCCAGGCAGAGCCAGTGGTGTTCCTCACAGACACATCAGACCAGAATCGTTGCCAATATCCGTCATTGGACTCGCCGACCCATACGGCTTTGGTAGGGTAGCTGACATTGTGCTGGCCGTCCGAAGCGATGATGGGCGAGTTGAACAAGTCAGTAGCCACTGGACCAAGGTTATCCGGCTTATTGATCGCAGCATTGATCTCGTCCTTATTGTCGCACACCTTCATTCCATACACAGTCCCGTATACGGTCTCTGCGTATCCATGAGAACCGGTGTAATCGTTGGTCTCGATCCAGCATGGGTCGCCTTTGAACACATCAGATCCACTAGCATCCAGCTGTCGGGCAATGCGGCCAGCAGACTGGTAGCTGCCAGGGCAGATGTTGTCGCTCGACTGCGCAACAGCGTAAGCTTTGATCGAACCCTCGTCGCTGCTGGGAAGGAATGCGATCGTCAATGGCTGCCATGCGCGTTGTGGAATTCCCCGATCACACCAGTACTTGGAATCCTCGAAATCTGTCTGGTTCGGCAGGAGCGATGGAGGGAACACAACAGCCGGTTTTGACCAAGTGAGTCCAGAGTCGCTGGACGATGCAATCTTCACATCTTGACCCATGGCGTCCACGTCGCTCTTGCTGGAAGACCAGAGCAAATACAAAGTACCGCCAACATTGTAGATGAACGGGTAGTGCGCGAACTTTTGCACATTGTCAGCAGCGACGGTGACCTTGACCGCATTCGCAGGAAGCTGTTTCCATTGGACCTCGTTCGATCCTTCGTTGATGCGCTTAGGCACTTTCCAGAGGTTGTTGTCAGATGGCAGGTTGGCGCACGACGCAGTGACGGCCAATGCCGCGAGGGAGGCGGCCTTGAGGGTGAAGGACGGCGACATATCGAAAGCGATGTGGAGATGACGAGGTGGCTTTCTCAAAATGTGGGAGAAATGGGCGTCTTCCTTTAAGTTCGAGAATCTGCTTGTGCGCTATACCGGATGTCTAGGATAAATCCCTGCAAGAAACCGGGATGATCACGGCCTGGCGTAATTGGACAAGGTTCTATGCCTATTCTTGGAAGCCAAAATTTGAATATTTAGCATGTCCCGCACGCAGTCTGTACTACAATACGAGGCTTAACACTCGTGCACTTACTGACCATTGGAGCGGACACTTGCGGCTGTTACACCATTGGGACGTGCGATGATGTTCCGAGACTCACGACGATGCCATCGTCGAACATACCCTCAAAAGCACCTCGTGGGCCGCAAATAGTTGTAGCACTGTGGAATTCGGCGCTGTTATGAGCATGAAGAGTTGAACGGCAGTTGCGAAGTACGAGAGAAACGAGGGAATCGATAAAAGGCATAACAACGACCTCGGTGCTGGCGGACTGCAGATCAACTACCCGGAAGCGAGCGACTTGCCGTACGATCACAGTGCGGGCGGCCTCGTCTATCAGAAGCCAGCTCTGACGTTGGAAGGAGGGAAGGTCAACATCGACAAGTTGGAGCATGGAGGAGAAGAAGATCCGCGGCGTGTACAGGATGCGAGTGGCGGGCATTAACCAATCCTGTCTTGAACACACCAGCACTTCACACCAGGAGCCAGAACGCACGAGTTGGAAGACATTGCATGAGGCACACAGTGAAAATATTTCGCAATACCAGGTGGAGCGAAAGCGAATCGCACAAGCATTTGTATAGCCACCGCGAGCTATTCAGTTGGATTTGTGCATGCACCAGCTTCGGCCATCTGGCCCTTGTGTCGTTCGCCGCTCGTCCTTCCTCCGACTTCAACTTTCTTGCGCAAGTCCCAGCCTTCGTACACCGCCCTCGCACATAGAAAGAACGACAGGCCATTCAACATCTCATCCTCTCGTGCTGCGGAATGTCTTTGTAGGCTTGAGTTCCCGGAATGCGTCGATAAGCGTAAGCAGCGTCCTTTGGCCACCACTATGGCAGATCAGGATGAGTGACGTACAATGTGCAGATGGTGCGATCGTGCTTGGTCACCCAGTTGCGATTGCACCCTAAGCAAGTGTATGGATCGACCCGCACAGCATCCCCATTGTCGTCTACAGAAAATCCGTCTATGTCAAATTTCCTCGCCGTGGCTCGAGGGGAAGACTGCGCGGAGAGCTGCGCCGCTGGTATGACAGGACGATGTATCTCCTGCAACAGGATCCACGCGTGGACTGAGCAAAGACACAATGCGGGAACCCACGTCACGACCAGAGCGAACTCTTCGTCTTCAAGGCATTCGCTGTGAAGAAGAACGAAGCCGAGAAGCCAAAGACAGGACACGATGAAGCAAACCGAGCCAACCGAGTGCTGACGATGTTGACAGTGCGAGCCCCTGCAGGCGGACCAGGCGATGTATTTTGCATGGGCGATAGCCGGAATGAAATTGAACACCAAGCACAGGAGGCCTCCGATGACGAATGCGAGTAGGTCGCCATCGTCAGCACCTTCCTCCATCAGAGATCGAGGTCGTCCTGATGAGAGCGGCAAGGGCGAGAGCTCGATGGCGGTGATGAGGAGTAGGGGGCCGTAAGCGAAGCTATTGGCTGTCAGTGTGTTTCTCGTATAAATCATCAAGAAGAGTTTTGCTTACCAAAAGACCCTCGCAAGAGAGAGTAGAAGGAGCAGGAGACGGTAGACGCTGCCCATCGTCTTTGGATTCCTTGGTTGGCCAGCGCGCGAGGCACCAGTGGGAATGGCGAAGTTTGTGGTGATGCTCGAGTCGTCCGGCGTGTTGGTAGCCATGGCTGTTGTGAGCGGAACCTCGACAGCGCTCTGAAAATGCTGATGAGAAGGTGGAGTATGAAGCCTCGAACATGAAATGGTGCTCTCGCGAACTCCGGGCCGCAAGCTCCTGCCATTCACTTGCAGCCTTGGCAAAGCGGTTGCCTAGTCAGCCGATCCACAGCGGGATTCCTTGATTCACCTTGACCGGCGACGACCACATCTCTGGCAGCGACGTTCTCTTGAAATCCCAGCTTTCTCTCGAGAAGACGACCAGAAACCGCCACGCATGAAACTCGCTTCCGCACTGGACCAAGCAGAACACGTGCACGACAACGCGAATGTCGTGGTGTCCCTGTACTTTGGTGTCCAGTCCCTCCTCCTTGCATGGTTGTCGCTCGAGGTCCACCGCGGCGCCAATCGTGCGGCAACTCGATCAGGCTCTAGAAGATTCCCCGTCACCATACTCCTCTCGCCCATCCTCACCGATTGGCTCAGTTCCTCCACCTTTCCGAGCAGTGTTTTCTTCGGATATCGACGACCGCGATCAATTGACTACGATGATTGGATCTTGGCGACGGGACAGGACGTGTTCCAGCGTGGGAGTCTCACTTTGAGACACATCATGGATGCGTGTCATGAATCGAAGTAAAGAAATGCGCAACAGTGCTGCAATCATGAAGAACGCCATGTAGTGGTAGCTCGGATGGAGATGCATACTTCGCCCGAAGCTGAAGGCTCTCTCAACAAGCACAAATGTCTTCTACAGCGCGCTTCCCCTGATGCTAGTTTTCAAGTGAGGCACGATGCGCTCAAATGCTTCCACACCCCGATTCCAGCACGTTTACCATTCTGGTCCTCATCAGCGAACACAATGGCGTCACAGTGTTGTAGTCATGCGGTGCTATCGCTCTCTGCTCGGTTGCGGTTTGTGGTGACAAGGCCGATCCATCAGATGAAGCCCAATTGCGTGAGCGTCCAAGCCATCTGACGGCCACTGCGATGGAGAAGACCAGTGGAGGTAGCGACGACGATGGGCATCTTGGCGAGGTTGTAGGGAGCTCCACGGAACCAGAAGAGGATGATCGCAACTTCGTTGAGGAGTACCATGAGCGCGCGAATGGCAAGTGGAGTGGACTGGAGTTCGTCCATAAGCCTCTCGCCGGTAAACAGTGTGACGTAGTAGGCATGAGCTACAGTGATGAGGGTCTGGCCCAGCTGGAGTAGAGTGAAGTGGACAGCGCTTGGGCAACAGCCAGGGACTGCTCTCTCGCCGAATTCAGAGGATGAAGTGTCGAATGGCAAGCTGAGAAGAGGTCAGTGCTTCGCTACGAGAAGAGGTCGTGCAGCTGACTCACCTCACAAAGGTAGCTGTGGTGAGCAGGATGAGGTTGAAGACGGCCGGAATGCGAGCAGCCATGGTTCTGATGTTGTAGATGATGGTCTTCGGACTTCGAGTTGCTGGGATTGAGCCGCTGCTGCTGTGTCAAGTTTCTGATGACGGGGCGAATGATGATATCGTATTGGTAATTGAAGGTAAGTTGATGGTTGGTGTTTGGTCAAACACGAACCTGACGAGCTCCGTCGTGGAGTCTCTAGAGGCAGAGCGCAGGCGTTCGCTGTTCACTTGCAGCTTCAACTTTTTGCAGGCTGCTCAGATTCGTTGGATCCGGCCTATTCGACCTGCACCTCGTCATGCAATCTCTGTTGTCTGGCACTTCCAGAAAGCCCTCGCCGTTGCGTCTGAATGCAATTTCTCATTTCGGCCCGACAGCCATATACATCTGTCCCAAGGCAGCGCTCTCGCCCACACTCTTCTAATGCCCTAACGGCGGATTGTCGACTTCGTGCTAGAACAGACGGGTGTGTGGTCGCTGTTTTGCGTGTCATCTGTTGTACGTGCATCGACCGCCGGACAAGTCAGGTGTTGCGTCTGTATGGAACACACTTCACTCTGGCACGTAGTTGGATGATCCTGCGAACTCAGCACCTGAGCTACTGTTTCGATGGCAGCCTGGAAACGCCCCTGGCTTTGGCCTGAGGCCGCGCATTGGTAGCCTTTTGCGCTTCTCTTCTAGCAACCTGGACAGTTTTGGCGGTTTGAACATTTCTTTCTCTTTCGAACAATCCTGAGGATACTTGCTAGGCTCCCGCATCTCGGGCTCTTTCATTACCACAATCTCGAGTGCGAGGTTACTGGAGCGCATGCTATGGCGGCAGCGAATGTGCATCATCAAAGGTCGACCCAGTTCTATCCAAGCTGGCTATCCCTAACCCTGACGGAAGCTTGCAGCATGTCAAGCATTGGCTTTGAGTGGGATCACATTAAGGTGGGTCCACGGCAAAGGGGTGGTACCACCGAGACAGCCATGCTCCGTACTTCCATCTCGCAGCCAAACGTCCATCGACAAGACCGAAACGTATCACGTAACCAGCACTGCTGTGCTTACGTGATTTGGAATGCCACTCGAGTTTGCAGCGGCAACATTTGGAGGACTGCAGGCTGCAGTCACTTTCACAGCCTTCTCGGTCACATGACAAGCCAGCAACTGGAACATCGTCTTCGGCTCGACTGATCGAGCAAGAAAGACTTGATCAAACCTCTTTCTCAAAACAGGTCGTTGGTCTCCAGGTCGACCAAAGAAAATCACAGCCATGACAGCGCACACTTCACAGATGGCACGCAAGGACTCGCCGACAGATAGCGTTTTCAACGATGCCGACAAAACCAAGGTGCTCGAAATTAATCTTTGTGCTGGGACTCTTTCCTCTGCATCAGGTCCAGCTGCTTTCCCGTTGCTCTCGCCAGATGATGTTGATACCTTGATCGAGCGGGCAGTGACAGACCTTGACATCGACCGGACCGAAATCGAAGACATATACCCGACATCACCTTTTCAGCAGGACATCTGGGCACTACCGACGGCACATCAACGTGCATACAAACTACAGACGACGTTCCGGCTCGCATCTCGTGAGGAAGCAGAGTTTCTCCAGGCATGCTGGCAACAGGTCGCCAAGCATCTTCCCATCCTCAGAACTGCTCCCCTGGTGGTTCCGGGCAAAGGCACCTTCTCTGTAGTTCTCAAAAGCTCTCAGTCACCTCATGCGCTATCTTCAGTCCAGCTCGACGGTTCAATCTTGACTTGGTGCGTCCACCGTGCCATCGTCGACCAGACCGTGCTGGACATTGTTCTCGAAACGGTCATGGCTTTGTGGAAGCATCAAGAGCCTCGCCCATTTTTGCCTCATGCTCTTTTTGTCCAGCAGCTCCAGAGTCTGCAGTTGGAGCATGCGAAATCATCACGATTATACTGGTATTCCGAACTTGGTGACGAGTTATTCCAGCCATTTCCATCGGTTGCTGGAACCACGGCATTGCCGTCTCCGAGCTGCTTCGTGCAGTCCAGCTTCTCACGACCTCACTACGAAGGAGATGTCCCATTCGATTCTTTGATGAAGGCTGCACTCGGCATACTTCTCAGCCAACACGCCAACGCTCAACGTATAGTATTCGGCGATGTTCGTTCCGGACGTTGTCATGCAGCATCTGATCCGTATCTCATTGCTGGACCCACCCAAGCCACTGTCCCCATGGCAGTCAATGTAGACCCGGATTACACTTTCAAGAGCTTCCTCCGCTGCATCAACGACCAGATCGTATCTTCAGCGCAGCACGAGCAGTTCGGCTTGACCAATATGCGCTCTTGTCTACCTCAAGTCTTTCAGGGAAATGTCGACTTCCAAAGCCTTGTGGTGATCCAGCCACCAGAAACGTCAATGTGGCGTGAAGCGAAAGACGAGTGGGATGCCGAGTCTGATCTCAGCTCTTGCTTCAGCCACGCACTGGTCTTCTCAGTCACACCAGAGCAGGACACTGTCCATGTCAAAGTACACTTCGATCCCGCAATCATCGGCCAAAAACATGTTGAGCAGATGCTCTTGCACTACGCTCGCATCAGTACAGCCTTAGCCAACGCCAATGAGGACACTCGATGTGGACATATCGAATTGACCAGTGCGGCTGACTTGGCCCTTCAAGTAGAAGACAGCGAAGATCAGCAGCAAGGCAGGGTCTTGAGAGGTTGTGAGAGCACGATCATTGACTTTATTCGCGAACATGCTGAGCAACAGCCTGAAGCTTGTGCGGTCAGTGCCTGTGACGGCTCTTTGACCTATCGCGAGCTTGCTCGGTACGCCGAGGCCATGGCGCAGGCGTTGATGGGTGAAGGCGCCAGGAAGGGAAGTTGTGTAGCGATTGCGTGTGAGAAAAGCCATGTTGTACCGGTCCTCATTCTCGCTGTTCTTCGCACAGGTGCACATTTTCTGTTACTTGACGCCGAACAACCCACGGAGCGGCTTCAGGTGCAGCTGAAGCAAGCAATGGTCCGCATAATAGTTTGCTCTTCATCACAGCGAGATCGATTCACCGATATGGCCCCGCAGCAACCTGACTTGGTCTTGCTGGACGCCACTTTCAACCGTCTGCACGAGCTGCACTGCTCCAGATCATTTCCCGAAATCGACCTGAACGGCGATGCATACATCATATTCACCAGCGGAACGACAGGCACTCCCAAAGGCATCAGAATCACCCACCGCAATGTGACCACATCCCTGTACCACACCACACAGGCTCTCGGATTGACACAAAATGATCGTGTACTCCAGTACAGTCGTTACAGTTGGGACGTGGGAATTCTGGAATTGCTAGGCGCTCTCCTGGTTGGAGCACGAATATGCATACCACCCGAGTCGACCTTACTCTCTCCGCCCGCCCTCGAATCGTTCATCCAACACGAAGGCATATCCTTCCTGACGGTAACACCAACAGTCGTCCGCTTCATACAGCCAGCAGCCGTACCATCAGTGAAAACAGTAGCTTTAGCAGGCGAGCCGATGAGTGCGGAGTTACAAGAGCGATGGGCAGGTCGGACACGACTGTTCAATGCCTATGGACCGGCTGAGTGCTCAATCATCGCCGCTGTAAGCCTGATCAGCCCGAACAGTGCATCGGTACGACTGGAAAGTATCGGTGCGACCAAGTTGTGGGCCGTAAATCGTGAGAACCCGGAGCTACTCGTTCCTCCAGGCGAAGAGGGCGAACTGCTGATAGAGGGACCTATCGTAGGCAGAGGATATATCGGCACAGCTCAAGGCGGGTTTTGTCGGAGCCCCAAGTGGCTGACAGGCCTCCGCGGCGGACACTCGTCACAAGTGTATCGTACTGGCGATATCGTGCGGTTACAAATGGACGGCAGCCTCGAGTACGTTGGCAGAAAGGACTTGCAAGTCAAGATCAGCGGACAGCGTGTGGAGTTGCTTGACATTGAGGCCCAGGTGAAAAGCGTTCTGCCGCAATTCGAAAGTGTCGTGGAGGCGTTCAAAGACGAGCAGGGATCGACTGCTATCGTGGCGTTCGTCTGTTGCACACCGGCAACCTCTGTAGATCAGAAGCCACTAGAAGAATTGGTCATCGGCGAGGACGACGCGAATCGATTGTACAACTTTCGAGAGATTGTCACAGCCGCTCGAGGCAGACTGAAGTCAACCATGCTTGAGGGAGCCGTACCAAAGATCTTCGTACCCTTGCATGCTCTTCCAGTGTCAAGTGGTGGCAAAGTACAACGCTCCATACTAAAGCAGTTCAAAATGGATGCGGCCGCCGCTGTTACCCAAATGAAAGCAGTTCCCAAAGTCGAGACTGCCAAGATCGAGACGCGGTCGATCAATGCAGCCGAGCATCGTCTCCGGCAGCTATGGGCCAAAGTGCTCAAGCTAGACCCGGAGCTAGTTGGCATTGACGATGAATTCGATGCCTTAGGTGGCGACTCCATCAAGCTGATGCAGTTAGTTGCCGAGCAAGAGGCTCGTAAGTTGGGGCTCGACGTCTCCGACGTGCTCAATCATGGAACCATTCGCCGGATATGCAGCGCGCATCAACAGCAAATACAAGTAGGAAGAAAGGCACATCCAGGAAATCAGCAGGATGGCAGGTCGCGGCATGGACAGCTCCGACAACTTGCGGCTGATCTACTTCATGTGGATGTCGATGACATCGAAGATATATATCCCTGCACAGCCTTGCAGAGTGAGCTGGCTGCACTGTCCGCCCGAGATCCTGATTCGTACTGGGTGACCTTTACGTATCCAGAGACCCTGTGCAGGCGTGACTGCTCCCGCTTCCGGAATGTCTGGGCATCTGCTGAAGCTCTTGCTCCCATTCTACGCACGAGGATTGCTTTGCTCGGCGATGAGAATGAGCCGATGCAGATCGTCCTGAGACAAGGGCATAGGATCGCTATTACTGACGAAGCCTTGAGTAATACAAGCTCGCGTTCACTCATGGAGGGAGCACAATTACTATACCCATCTTTCCAGCCGGTCGCAGAGGGCCACGTCTTCCAAGTGGCAATGCATCATTCGGTCTATGACGGCGCTTTCATGGAACTTCTCGCCAGTGTGATTGGGGACCTTTTTAATGGCAAGATTATGGAGCCCTTGACGCCCTTCCGTGACTTTATTGCGGATCATGACAGCGGTAGCGAGCAGTGTTCCTCCTTCTGGCGATCACAATTGGATGGGACCAAGGGTCTATCCTGGCCTCCACGCCCAGAGTCTGGTTATCCTCAGACCGATATGAGGTACCAATGCTCCACATCTCTTACGAGATCTGCAGCTGCAAGGCCGATCACTTCATCTGCGGTCATGCTTCGCGCTGCCTGGTCGATTCTCTTGAGTGTTGCCAACGGAGTGGGCGATATCACCTTCGGCGAAGTCCTTAGCGGTCGAGTGTCGACATCCAGCACTGCAGCCAGAGCCGCAGGTCCCACTATCACGACAATTCCAATGCGCATGTCAGTGTTGAACACGATCACAGCAGGAGAGCTCGTATCTGCTGTGCAGGACTATCACAGTCGAGCAATGCCTTTCCAGCAGATGAGTCTACATCGAATAGCAAGCTTGCTTGAGCCCTACCAAAGATCAGCAATGGATTTAACATCGCTTCTCATAATCAACAGCGAGACTCTAATCGACAGCCATGAAGGAGATCAGGTGGTGATGTGGGAGCACGACACGAATGGTCCGCCGTTGAAGCACCCTTACCCTCTTGTCTTGGACTGCACGCTGTCAGAAGACGAGGCACGACTTCTCTTCTTGTATGACTCCTCCCTCTTGACTGCAGCACAAGTGGCTTCAGTAGGCGAAGATCTTACAATTATCCTCTCGCAGTTGATGAGCTCGACCGACAATACGCCGCTCGAAAGTCTCAAAAGAAGCTGCAAACACGTCTCATCTTACGCATCGAGAGGCCTGAAACAGGATACGCCGTTGCTCATCAAAGATACTCCAGCGAAAGAGGCCACTGACGCCGACAGGCCTCTCTCGTCAACCGCTTTGAAGCTTCGCGATGTCTGGTCCGCGGTCTTGAAGAAAGACGTGGCAAGCATCACGGGCCAAGACAACTTCTTTCGCTGTGGCGGCAATTCGATATCGGCCATTCGCCTGAGCTCTGGCGCGCGGGCTGTAGGCATTACTCTGAGCGTCGTGCAGATTTTCAGATCCCCTACCTTAGAGGGCATGGCCGCTACTGCCGATGCCGCGTCTTCTATTACACAGCCATCAGCAGAGCGGCTGGGGAAATCGGCTCCATTTGAATTGATCGAAAAACAGCGGAGAGACTCGATGCTACGTGTTGCAGCATCGGCATGCGATGTGCATGTTCAAGACATTGAGGATACGTATCCATGCACGCCAATGCAAAAGGGGATGCTTGCATCTACCCAGTCGGAACAGCAGATGGCCTATGTCCAGACCAGACGCTTTCTGCTATCCTCAGACGTCGACGTGCCAAGACTGTTCAGAGCACTCATCCAAGTGATTCAAGAGCGTCCCATTCTTCGCACAAGGGTCGTAGATACGGGCGCAGATGGCTTGTATCAAGTTGTTCTGCGTTCCAACCTCTGCAGACCAACCTTCGTCTCTGATGCGGACGAGTATGAAGGTACACTGGAAGGAGTGTACGGGAAAGAATTGAATAAGTTCGTCATTGCAGACACAACTCTGTCATGGATTGCTCACCATGCTACGTACGACGGCGACTTGCAGGCAGTGATCGAGAACGACATTGCAGAAGCGTATGCAGGAAGGAGTATCAATCCAGGTATCCCCTTCAGCAAGTTCGTAGAGCATTTGCAACGCTCTCAAGACCAGTCAGCCGAGAGAAACTTCTGGTCATCTCATCTGTCTGACTCCATCACACCAAGTTGGCCATCGTCCTCCACAACAGCTTCTCAAGTCAGCCAGCCCGAACTCGGTCGTTGCGATTATAGCCAGTCCATTCCCATCCCTGCCGATACAGAACACACTGCCTTCACTCAAGTTAAGCTCGCCTTGGCACTTCTTCTGCGCCAGTACACCGAGTCGGACAACGTATTGTTCGCTACCGTGCTAGCAGGCAGAGAGACTAGCGATCAGCTCGGTCAAGGCCGAATCCTCGGCCCAACACTGACCACCGTGCCCGTGAATATGAAGATTGATGGCATGAAGAGCTTGTCTCATACAATGGCCAGCATCCAACAAGCAGCGACAGATATGATGGCATTTCAGCACACAGGTTTGGCCAAGATCAGAGAACTTGTTCGAAATGAGGTCAACTTGGCCCCCGAAAAGCTCACTTTGTTGGTCTTCCAGTCCGAAGAGAGCAAGCCACGGAAAGACTTGGAATCACTTGGTCTGCAGGAGCTCGACCCAAATGAATCAGATATGCAAACGCAAGACTTTCCTCTCGTCGTTGAGACCAGCATCAGTGCAGATCAGCTGACGCTGCGCGTCCACTACAACACTGCTCTGCTCTCTCTTGACGAATTCAAGCTTTTTGCATGCCAATTGGCACATATTATTGGCATTGTGCGTTGCAGTGAGCCGGAAAAGGCGCTGGACAGCCTAGATCTCGTCAGCCCAGACGAGAAGGCTCTACTTGCTGACTGGTGCGGCACTGATGTACAAGACGACTTGCCCACACCTCTCGAGCGTCTCATGACCTGGGCTGGGCGAGACCCTAAATCTCGCGCAGTGCAAGCTTGGGATGGCAATCTTACTTACTCAGATCTCATTGTCCAATCGCACATGCTCGCTGTATACCTCAAGTCTCGAGGCATTGGCCCAGGGTCGATAGTCACATTCTGCATGAACAAGTCCACGATGGTCGTTGTGCTAATGTATGCCGTGTGGAAGGTCGGAGCATCGTGGACGCCGCTGGACTCGCGTGATCCTGATAGTCGCTTGCAAGAGTCCATCAAGCGCCTTGGGGCAGCTTTATTTGTGACGAATGTGCCACGCTTGGAGAGTCTCATTCCAGAGTGTACGATCCTTCTCGCTGACAATTTGGATGTTCAACAATTCCCCTCGAAGATTCAGATCCCTGGGCTTCCTATCGAGCTCAAAGATCCATCCGATACGACCAGGCCAGCATATATCCTATTCACGTCCGGCTCGACAGGCACCCCGAAAGCAGTCGTAATCTCCCAAAACGCTCTAATTGCGTCTTCGGCAGCTGCAGGTCATGGCATGGGGCTGGATGAGACCAGCCGCGTGTTGCAATCCACTCGATTGACGTTCGACCCATCAGTCACAGAGATCGTTGCGACGCTGTATCATGGTGGGTGTGTCTGCATCCCTCAAGAGGACGAGTGCAGCAACGATTTCTTTGGCACCGCCGAACGGTATGGCGCGAACTGGGTCGCTCTGACCCCAAGTGTTCTCAGGACGCAGCCCATCCCGTATTCAGCGGGCTTAATCAAACGAATGGTACTTGGAGGAGAGCCTGTGAGGCCATCGATCTTATCACCGTGGTTGGAACGACTGCCCGGATATGTCGTGTACGGACTGACTGAGACCTCAGTGGCAAATTCTTGCGGACCGATTGACCACAACAAAGGCCAGACTGTCGACTGCTCTGTCTTGCCCATACCCTTTTCGGGCAGGTTCTGGATTGTCGACTCTGCTTGCGAAAATGTGCCACGGCTAGTTCCCAGAGGGTGCTCGGGAGAACTGCTGATCGAAGGGCCTATCTTGGCAGATGGGTATTGGCAAGATGACAAGAAGACGGACGCTGCTTTCCTTCAAGTCCATGCGACATGGCCATTCGATTGCGGCTTAAAGGCCAACAGGAAACGTCTGTTTCGCACAGGCGATCGAGCAAGACACCTGCCAGACGGTTCCGTCCAGCTTCTTGGCCGCAAAGATCATCAGATCAAGATTTCTGGTCAGCGGGTAGAGCTGGGAGAGGTCGAGCACTGGCTAGTGCAAGCTCTGCCTCACTTGACTGCCATTATTGAGCCCGTTGTCTATCGAAACATGACCGAGCCTCGTCTGACAGTTTTTGTCGTCTCAGATCGATCAGAAGATATCCAGCAGGAGCCCGGTCTCCTGCACGCTCGCAGTGCCTCGGACGTCGCGGAACGAGCACGTCTTCTCGAAAGAGCCCAAACCATCATGCGTAAACACCTACCGCCCTACATGGTACCTACATGTCTGTATTACATCTCACGAGTTCCGCTGAATCGTACTGGAAAGCGTGACCGAGCGACCTTGGCAGCCTGGACAAGAGACATTGATTATCAGCCTCCACATGAGATGCATGCTGTTCATCCTCAGCCGTACTCAATGAACGGTCATGAGCAAGGCTTGAAGCTACTGTGGGCCGAAATACTAGGTGTTAATGCGCAACATATCAGCCCAGACTCATCGTTCACGGATCTAGGTGGCGACAGTATCTCTGCGATGCGTTTGGTGTCTCTGGCTCGGAAGCATGGCATGACTATGCTCGTTCGACAAGTCCTTGCTACCCCTCGACTCTGCGATATGGCTCGATTGCCATACAATAGTAATACGGAAGATAATGCAGAGGAAGAGATCCAGCCGTTCAAATTACTGGATGAAGTTGTTCGGGACCGAATTCGTGAGGTTGTACAGGCTGATGACCGTCTTGACTGGGGGACAGTAGAAGATGCCTATCCTCTCACAGACCGGCAGGCCCATTATCTCCGTCTGTGTCTTGCCACTCCCGGTGGTGGCTGTACCCAATTCTGCTTCTCTCTCGAGCGTGCCTGTGGCGAACTGAGTATCTCGTTGGTGCAGAGTGCTGTACGTGAAGTCTGTCGGGCTCACGAAGTGCTACGAATAATCTTGGTCGAGTGTTCCGGAGGAGAGTACTATCAGATAGTAACGAGCCAGAATGCGATCTCACCGGAGCCATGCTCAGTCTATACGGAGAGTCTGAAAGAGGGGCAAGAGATGGAGGCCGTGGCACTGCATCAGCCACTGGGAATGCCAACGTCTCGCTTCGCTATCTTCAGCGAAGGAGGTAGACCGAAGTTGCTGATTTTCACAGCAAATCATGCAGTCTACGATGGATGGTCGCTACAGAATCTGGCACGAGGACTCAAACGTGCCTTGAGCTGCGGTTCTGATCCACCAGTCGTTCCTGATCCCGACTATCGTATGCGGCAAGTAGTCAGTCGAGCTCTTCGATGCCGTGCATCTTCCTTGTCGGCAGACTTTTGGACACAGCATTTGGCCCCCGCCAGTCCGCTGGCTTTGCACAGGCACGATCCAGATCATCATCCACTTCCGGTGACCACAAGTTTGCTCTCCTCCACATGGGCCATGCCGCCTTCGCAATCCACAAGCATTTATACATTGTCTACTCTCATTCACGCCGCTCTTGCGCTGGCAACACGAGACATCACCGGTTCCACGGGTCCCATGATCGAGACAATATCTACTGGGCGAAGTTCAGGTGCAGTGGGGATTACCGAATTCATCGGCCCGGCCATTGCACTTGTACCGCTGTGCGTCCCACTTCAAGATGACCAAGGTGTCGATTTGCCTCTCGAAGATGTGTTGAAACGAATTCAACTCTTCCTCCACGCCGAATGCACTCGTCACGAGCACTACGGCATGAAAGAGATAGCCGCTTTGAGTGAGCACGCGAAGAATGCGTGCAAAGCTGCCACGACCCTTTATGTCCATCCGACATCTTTTTTGATGGATGTGGATGATAACGAGCAGAATAACGATGGCGCTCAAGCGACGGATGCAGTAAGAGACAACCTTGAGGGCCTTCCACTTCGGCATGCTCGTTTGATTGGCAACGAGGGGCGACCACTTGTCGTTGAATGTACTCCGCACGGGGTGGCCGGAACGATCAAGGTCGAAATTCGGTTTGATCCGAGCTACTTCACAGAGTGTCGTGCTCAAAAACTGGCGGAGAGCCTTCAAACAGCGTTTGAGCGGTGCGCTCAAGCCAGTGGGTTGTGATTCATCTCCAGAGTTGAATGGTGTGGCTCCAATACGAAATGGTGGACGCAACGAATTACTTTCGGTAGAGGACTGCAGCGGCGTATCGACCAGCAGGCAAACTCGAATCGGCCCTTTCGGGGCAGCAGGCATCCACGTGGTTGTACAATCCCCCTGCGTTAGTATTGATCTCAGCGTCACTTGGTGTCTGCTCCGTCATTATAGCCTGTAGGCAGGGATGGTAGTATGCTTACATGTCGGCTCTATGGCAACCACCATGCTAAGTAACACTTCCCACAATTGCTGCTACCTGTCAACGAGTCCGGACTGGCAACATTGAAACCGCAACCGGTCCACGAATTATGATGAGTTGTAGGTATTGCACCCAACAATAGATACAATATTTTCTATTGAGAGGGAACTTCCGGCACAGCTTCACCTCCCTTATACTATGCTTGCCACCGACAGGCAGCTCCGACTTAGAGTTATTTGTTCAAGCAGCACGCTCGCTGTTAGAAGTTATAGTAAATGCTGCTGAGTAAAGCTTTTGTTTTACGGGCGATCACGTTCCCTTTCTGTTGCTAGAGCCTCTAATATAGTGGCAGAGACTAATAGGGACAGCGGACTTGGGGCTATTGAAGTTTTCACTTATTCAGAGGAAGAATTGACTGAACCGGAACTAGCTTCTTATCGTCGCCTTGATTGTGGTCCTACCCGGCTGCAAAGGTGAGAGTTGGTAAAAGAGAATCAAAAAGCCCAATGTTCGAGAAGTCGCGCACGGAGTCCGCACGGAAATTGTACTTGCCGTTGCAGTCACAATGCTTGCTGGTGAGAGGCAATTTCCGTCCTCCCTTCACTTCCCTCACGTTATGGTTGCCATTAGCAGGGACTCGGGAGCTCCCCACTGTGCTTTACCTCCCACACGCTATGTTTGCCATTGGCAGGGAACTCTTGATTAAGCTTCACCTCCCTCACGCCATGTTTCTATTAGGAGGGAGCTCTTGATCAAGCTTCATCTTTCTCACACTATGCTTGCCAATAAGAGATAGCTTCCTACTCAGCGTTATCTACCAAACCTGCTAGCTGTTATCAGGTCCTCCGGAGTAGTGGTAGATATTAAAGAGACAGCCGGCGTAGGGCTGTCAAAACTTTACTTATCAAGGGAAGAATCGACTGAACTTAAGCCAGCTTCTTATCGTGGCTTTGATACGTGATGCTACCAAGATCCTCTGCCAATAACATAATGAAATGACATTCTTCCACGGCCCAACAACATGTGAATAACTGGTTCATACCTTCGGCGTTGCAGCAGGTTCGCCGAAAGGTGACCAGAGGTCATTCGCCCCGGCCATGTACTTCCGCTTCCGTGGCTTTTCTGCAAGTCCAATGTCCACGCCATTTGCTGCTGTCCCATCGGTCATCAGCCTCTGCAATTGCATGTCGAGAGATGCTTTCAGTGGGCTATCACTGTCCCAGAAGTCGCTGGCTTTGATTGCCATTGCCTGTATCTCCGACCAAGGGAGGTCGATGTTTGCGAGGTGGAGTATCGGTTTTGAATCTTTCAGCAAACGCTCGTAGTCTGATCGTGGTGTTGTCCGAGTGCATGAGTTACACCGCGACGCTTGAAACGCACCAGCGGTGGTCCTTGCCATGGTACGCCCCAGTCCTCTTCCGTGTCGTCGCTGCAGATTCTCGGTACCTCAGAGTTGTCGACGCGTCCATTCCGTTCAAATGGTAAACGCATCGAAGTTTCGACAACAGCCTGGGGTAAGCTTCCAGCGTCGGCATCCTATTACGAGGTCAGTCTCTCACCTGCAATCGAGGATCTGTGGTTTGCTTACTGGTCCGATAGTACGACGGCGTTTGGTTGGAGGGAGAGGCGCTTCGTCAGATGCAAGGGTATTGTCGGCGTCCTGTCGAGCATTTTCCCACCCGCCTCCCCTCTCTCGGACAGTGACACCGCGTGGCACCTTGCGCTTAGCGTCACTTATCCACGACGGCTCGAGTATCGTTCGCTGGACCTGGTCCGGCCATGGCTCCTCTGTCTGTTGTGTGGAGAGATATTTGATGTGTGCCTTCGTCGTTCGCTCTTTGTGACCCCAGTACGTGGTCGCAGCCGTATAACGCATTGGACTTGGCTTATGACCTCTGAAATGCTGCTCGCACCAGCCCATTCGAGGAGGAGCACGTTCAGGTGGTGCGTCCGCGCCATAGATGCACTCTGGACTCAGTTGTGGGAGCGACGTGTGGTTGCCAACTTTCTCTTGCTTGTCCTTGGGCTGCGCGTTGTAGGCCCTCTCTCGATGCTTCCACATCTTTCGTTCTACCATTGACCACGATCGCGGGGTATGGTAGATTTCGTATTTTTCGTGAAAGAATGAGGTGTGCTCACGGCCGTCGGCTGTCTTCATCACATGCCATGGCAAATCCGGTCGAGAACGTGCGTACTCCGGTGTGAGCGTAGCAGCTCACTTGCCATGGTTCGAGCCGACCCATACGTGCTCCTTTATGAGAGGATGTTTGAAGTGGCGGTCTTGTGACAGAAACTGATTGTGTCAGTAGAGCCGTGCACAGCGACAGGAGCCAACATTACCCATTCTTCGAATGAGAGGTCCTTCGCAACGAACTCCACCTTAGATGATTTTTTCCTCGTTGTGTCAAGCGGGTCGAGGCTCAGCAGAAGCTGTGGATGAGGCTCTGAAAGCTTGGGTGCGCTGGGTACCCATCGCAATGCCTAAGACGATGCGTCGTCTTCTTCTGTAACGTAGTACCCCATCGTGACCGCGTGGTGCAGATCAGCGAAGAGAAGATCACCAGCAAAGAAGAGCGCAGTAGTGAGCCAGGTAAAGATGGGTAGAAACATGAGTTCAAGCCAGTCGACGTCGTGCAACAGCAAGTGCGTGGCAGCTTGCCGCGGAAAGGAGGCACGACTCCAACAAAGTAAGGACGCGACGGACCCACATTGTTCAGGAGGCAACTGCAAACCGCGGGTCACTGCGGATAGACATGTAACGAGCTGCTCGACTGCTTATACCAGATGACTGAGGATTGATCTGCGCGGTCTGGAGTAGGTAGTTCAGCTTGCGTTTTGGTAATCATGTTGGCGCTCGCGACGTGTGGTTGTGAACTCTCTCTTGCTTGCTTGTCCTTAGGCTGTGTATTGTAGGCCATCTCTCAATGCTTCAACAACTTCCGTTCCACTATTGGACGCGATCGTGGGTTATGGTACATCTCGTCATCGTGGCCACCTCCGAATGCAAACAGCTCTGAGTGCAACCGACTAGCCAGATCGGCTCTCGATCCATGACAAGCTTGGGTAACTCGCTTAGCAACCTGCGGTTGCACTCAAAGGTAGTTGCACTCAGAGGTAGCTACGGTTATTTGTCGTATGAACTATGTTGAGCTGCGAACGTTGTACCAAATGAAAGATAGAACAAAACATCCGACGTAATGCCGTTCGTCGATGTTTAAAGTCGTGCTCAACCACTGTTCTCTCTAAGCCACCGCTCCACTACACGACGGACTTGTTGACATCTGCGCTCCTTCTCTTCGTACGATTGCACCATGAAATGAATGTATCGTGCTGCACGATCCAAGATTGCACCCTTGGTATTTGCTTGACTTCTTCCCGTCTGGTCCTCCCGATCGAAGTAATCTGGTATTCGGTTCTGCAGCTCTTGTATCTTTTCGTTGACAGTGGATCGGTATCGTCTCTCTACCGCTGCGTGTGGTCGATTCGAATAGATTGTCTTCTTGCCGTGCGTCTGGTGCGACTGCTTACCATCGGTATGGCTGTACTCAGGTGTCGCGAGCTGTCTTACTGGTGACTCTGGCATTTCCGGCGTCATCTCGTAGTCCGAATCGTCATCATCATCTTCATCATCATATTTATCGTATGCACATTCAGCGTGCGTGAAACTTCTGCCGGAGCGGCTGGCTTGAGGAAGAGCAGCGATAGCATAGGCCTGCTTGGAGAAGGCTCCCCCATCTGTCTCTTTGTCAGTGAATGCAAATGTAGACATAGTTGCACGAGTTTAGTATTGTGAGCGACTCATCTACCTCTGCATGTTTGGAACGACTCACTTCGTTCCTCGGTGGAAGTATCTGGGCTCCGAGACTTTGACTTTGCTGTTTGTAACAAACGCTCAAGAAGCGCTACCTCTTCCCCAGTTATGTTCACTGTTGGAGAGCCCGATGTGCGTTGTGTTGTAGCCATTATCATTCCTCTCAATGTCGTGGGTCCTGATTTGAACCTTCAGCAGTAGCAACGAGCCAGTAATACTTGCTTTTTGCTGGAGGTATTACTGTCGAGATCCCAGTAAGGAGCAAGGGATCCTGCACCTTTCTTCCGGCGTGTTCGTTTCTCAATGCACTGTATTGAGGTCATCCGCAGTCGCAGTTCTGATCGAGAATGGCAAGAAGCGATTTTATGCGTTGTCTTGTCGACGAAGACCATCTTCCACATTGCCATATGTCGAGCGAGGAAGATACAGATCGAATTGCCGCGGTCACGGAAGCCGAGCCTTCGGGCTCACGTCAAGAAAGTGAATAGGCTCAGGCCTCCGCGCATCAGCCGCAGATTCTCCCGTAACAAGGTCCACCTGATCCCTGAGGCTTTCGGGCATCACGATTCTCGCGTTGAACCCGAAATCATGTATCTGTGGAATAATAATACTGTTGTTTCCATCTATTGACCGCTTGGCACCTGATCGGACGAATGTCTAGGGGTTCAATCTTAGTAGACTGCCCAGGTTGTCCCTAAGTACAATGTAAAGTAATCATGGGTGGACGAGATTACCCGCTGCTGAAAATCTGATCCATTTTTGCCGAAACATTCAGTCACCTTTAACGGCGCTCTCTTCGTCTTTAGGTTTCTCATCTTTGGTGATCTTCGCCCAAGGCATCAGAAGTGATCCTATGAGAGTCAGGCATGTCAGTCCTAGAGCCAGATACCAGGCTCCTGTAATAGCCTCGTTAAATACTGAGACGAGCTTTCGCAGATCTTCGCCACTGAAAGACGATTTGATCTCGTTGAGGCCCATGTCGGGAATTCCACTAGTATCTCGTTCAGGGAAAAGCCGACGCAGGTCTCTAGCCAGTCCATTCGCAAAAATAGTCTGTCCAACAGATACAAAGATCGCCGGACCGAACATTTGCGCGAAAAGTACAACAGCTATGCCTAGCGGGACGTCTTCTTTCTTCAAAGTCGTCTGCACTGCGTTCAAGGGACCTTGGAAGCCGATGCCGGTCGAAAAGCCTACCATGGCGAGGAAGATTATCAGCTGAGCCAAAGACGTTCTCGGACCCCACGTCGTGATCAAGCCAGCAGATACCGGCATTAAGATCGAACCCGCCAGCGAGAAAGGAGTGTAGTAGCCAAAGTAGCTAGCTCTGAAGCAAACTTCAGGTCAGTAAAAGTATCGTTCGTCGAAAAGAACGCAGTAAACACTGACCCTGCACCTTGAATCAGAAATCCAGCAAGTGTTGCGATGAGGCTTGGCAGCATCAGAAAGCCCGATTTTTGAGGGCTGAAGTCGTGCACGATCTGGTAATAGGTTGGAACATAGTACTCTACGATACTGAGGGACGAAACGCAACCCAGAGAGAAAATGAGGCCACTGTAGACGTTTCGATTCTTGATAAGACGTGGGGGCAGAATACCCTTCTCTCCGGTCCGGGCTGCGTGGAAGGCGAAAATTGCTTGCAGGGACCCAAATAGAACGAAGAGGGTGATGATTGTAGGGCTGTTCCAAGCACGAGTGACTCCGCCCCAGTTGATGGCGAGGAAGAGAGCCACAAGGCCGCCAGTCATGAGGACCATTCCGATGACGTCCATCTCTCGAAGTAATCCGGAAAATGTCAGTGCCCGATCATCTTCTTGTGATTTCGGAATGCAGGGCAAGAAGAGGAACATAGAGACCAGAGCAGCAACACAAATAGGAATGTTGATCCAAAAACACCATCGCCACGTTGTGTGCTGGACTATTACTCCTCCTACAGTCACCCTGTCAGCCATCTTGCATGCAAAAGCTCAAAGAGTGTGACACAACAAACCAATGACGGGACCCAAAATACCGGATAACATCTCAATTGACCCAAAGATACCTCCAAGCATGGGACGGAGTTGAGGCGCCACCACCTCCATGATCAAGTTGAAGAATCCAGCAGAACCGCCAGCAATTCCTACTCCAGCAAGAGTCCGGCCAACGATGAACATTGGCGAGGTCTGAGCTGCAGCGCATAGCAGAGACCCAACCATGAACGCGAAATTAGACGTCATGAAAACATATTTCGTCGGAAAATGTTTGTAGAGCTTCCCGAACGGAAATTGCATTGCGCAGGCGGCCAGGCGATAAGATGTTAGGTACCATCCCACGTCTGCGGTAATGTTGAATTCGTCAGTGATGGTTGGAACTCCAGTTGCCAGAATTGTGCTATCGATGCCACCAACAAGAAGGACAAGGATCAGTGCCGCGAATGCCAGCGCAAGCTTCCAACCGCCGGGGTATTGCTGGCTCGTCCCCACTTCGTCCTCTGATGGATCTGCTTTTGCACTCTTGTCCCCAGCGAGACTGTCAGTTTTCCCTTTGCTGGAATTACCGTCGTCTCTCTTCTCGCTGAAGTCATCATCACTCTTGTCCAGAGATACTGGCGTCGTGGCTTGTCCTGTCTTCTGATCGGTTCCATGTTCCACCTTGGTGTCGATCCTGTTATGAGCGCCAGACTTGGCAGGGTTCTTTGCGGAGATCATGGTGAGAGCTTTCAAGCGCTGCGTAGTGTCCCGTCGAAGTATTGAGTTTCATGGACGGTTTTGAGGGCACAACAGAGAAGAGCCTTGTCAGACGACGATACCAGCTCTATTGGGCAATGTTGTCATTGCGGTGGATGGCACCATGGGTGGGATCATCGAGTGAACGAAAGCAATTGAGTCATGCGTGATGATCTTGAGCAGAGCAGCTCAGCAGTGTCTGGGGTAATGCGGCCTGATCCCGACCGAGCAGCGATTGCGGCTGCCGATCAGTGGTTTCCCGGAGCTCAGGGTAAACATGGTTTGCGAGAGTGCGGTGGGCTGTGGTTCTCTCTCACTGTCTCCATCAAATGCGTCGTCGTCGAATCCCCGAATCGTACGGAGAGCGATTCTGCCTGTTACGGAGCACGATTTCTTGACAGATTCTGCATACACAGCCAATCAGCATGTCACCAAACGCGTCACTTAATCGTTCGAGTCATGCTCCGTAGGCGCGGACGCTGAGTATAATGTGTCGCCGAGCAGGGGCAATGCAATGCAATGACGAAGATGAGTGATCGTGAGCATGGGTACGCAGCAGATGCGGCCGTCAGGACTAAATGCGAGAAGCAAATGCTCAAAATGATGTTGTAAACAGCTAAGTCTACATGGAAATGAATCCCAACGAGTTCTCAGATCTGGGCTTATCAAACGACTCTGTATTCAATGACTGTCAGGTGAACACTCCACCATCATCGTGCTCACGCTGAGTTGTTTCGCAGTCTCCGTGGACAATCTGTTCACGCTCACGCCCACGTCCGAAGTGAATCCTCAGAGCGGAGATGGCGCGACCAGTCAATTGCCTATTGAGCCACAGTTTCCCCAGAACGGAACTGCTCCCCAAGATCCGGCGGCAGACAGCTTGGCAACGATACTCGATACGGTCGACGAAGAAGCAATTTTCGAATACTTGAAAACACGTGCTGGAGCACGACCGGCATCACGACGACGATTGAGAGACGTGGAGGACAAGCCATCCCAGGTACAAAGGAAAGCTTACCATAAATTCAGTTACGAAGAACTGACAGCAGGACAGAGCGCATCACAGGTACCTCCAAAGCGACGGAACAGTCGGCTCAGAGAGGGAGTGACCGAGCCTACGCCAAGTCGACCGCATTACGCAGTCGAGAAGCGCTATCGATCAGCGTTGAATACAAAATATGCTAAATTGACCGATGCGGTACTCCAAGACTCTACTCAGCGTATCTGCCAGGCGGCAAATCCGGAATGGAACATGCAGGCACTGGAGGGTGGGAACCGCTTGAACAAGAAAGCCACGCTTTCCGCGGCCCTTGATACAATTGACGTTCTGGTTGAGTGCTGTGAGCGCAAGGCTGGTGAGCTTGAGGACCTTGAGAAAGGCCGACAGGCGATATCCGCTCGGGCACGAGAACTGGTGGGTCAAGATATTAATTCGGCAATGTAGATCTGTGCTGTGTATCAAAAATGCTTCAAGTGTATATTTGTACCTCTATGAAAGACCGATATCCTCGTTTCCGCCTTTGTGATTGTCCTCCATAGCTTCCACAGCTTCTGCAGCGTCACTAAGCCCAAGCGTGTGACTGTCTACTCTGTTCATACATTGGACGATAGACGGCTCGGGCTGTATTGGCGCTGGTTCCAGAACGATTGACGGCTGTGCGATGATCTCGACATGTTCCGCAGGGGCGTCCCTCTGGACTACTGTTTGTTCAACGTTCGTGGGCTGGGAAACTTCGTTGCTCTCGTCACGAATCGCTTCCTGCAGCATCGTTGTCGTCGTTCTGTCAGGTTCAGGATCGTTGCCTGGGTCAATCGATGGGACCGGCTCAGTTATCTGGTCTGTATCATGATCGCTTGACAAAACCTTACACCCGCTGCCACCCTCACCCACTGTGGACGGGCTTCCGTGATCAGCATTTGCTCCCGAGTCCACTCCTCTCGCGTCTTCCAAGCCAGACATATCCATATCATCCTCAATCATCCGATCTTCCACCCGTTCCGTGAGCCGTTGATCTTTGGAGGTCTCCTCGTCAGCATCTTCATCATCCAGTCTGTCGTCCATCTCGTCAATATGTTCGTTCATGCCGACTGGATACCGCGGCACGTCTTGAAGCTGCACAGAGGGGACCGGTTGTGCTTGACGAAGATTGGTATAAACAAATGACTTGATCTTCGCCAGGTATTCAGCACTGTTCCGGTTGTCCATATTGCTCGGCTTGACGTCTAGTTCGAAGTCTGGCGAGTAGTACTCGTAATAGTCTGTAAATGGCATCGAGCGAGACAGATCAACACCAACTATCTGTCCAGTCTCATATGCCCATGCTCGAGCGACCTGACAAGTGAGTCTCAGTTCTTGCACGATTCGTTCATGAGGCCTATGCCGGACTCACGTTTCGTATTGTATAGCCACCACCTCCCAGGAAAAGCGTCGGCAGGTTGAATTTCTTCACGAAGTTGACGCAGTTCGCATGCCCGGCCAGGCTCAAGTTGAACGCACCGAGGCGATCGCCAGACAAAGAATCAGCTCCACACTGCAGGACGATCGCGCCCGGTTGAAAAAATTCCACGGCCCATGCGGTCACTGATTCGAAAACATCCTTATAGCTGGCGTCGTCGATACCATCTCGCAGCGGTACGTTGACTGAGTAGTGTTTCCCTGCACACCTATTGTCAACACTGCAAGAAGATCACGGGATGAAGATCCATTTCATACCTTGTCCGATTCCAATATCGCGAAGGTCGCCGGTTCCTGGAAAGAATTCGCCGTATTTATGCAAGGAGACACACATTACCCTGTCAGTGGTGTAGAAGGCTTCTTCGACACCGTCGCCGTGATGCACATCGATGTCGATGTACAACACTCGTGCATGGAACCTGAGCAATTCAAGGATTGCAAGGACGATATCTGCACGTCAGCACTTTTGGTCAGCAGGCGCAATATTACTCTCTACGGTTTCACGAGTGTCTGCCTATCGATGACCTGCTGGACTCGGATAGTTGAGGACGACTTGCCATTTATGTAGCAAAATCCGGATGCCTCGTTCTTCTTTGCGTGATGCAGCCCGCCCGCCCAATTGATCGCCATGTCACATTTCGCACGGTTGAGTCTTGCCGCTCCTTCCATACTGCCACCGGCGCTAATCGCGCAGAACTCAAAGACGCCGTCGAACGGAGGACAATCTTCCCCAACATTGTGCTTGGCGCACTCCTTAGCCAGAAGATGTTCATTGTCGGGCGTAACACGCTGCAAAAAGTCCACGTACTCGTCCGTATGAAACTGTGTCATCTCGTATCTTGACGCTGGTTTGGCCCGGTAGATCTCCATTTTATTGTATAGTCCATAGTTCATAACAAGTGAATGCACCATTCGAATTCGATGGGGCTTCATTAGGTGTCCCGACTGGTAGGCGTAGTTCCCGACATCGCTGTCATAGAAATAGGCCACCCTCTTCTTCTGAGTCGAAGGCGAGTTCGTGCCTATTCCTGGAGGGTCCAGCGGAGGTGCGGCGTATGCCATTGTTGAGATTGAAGCCAGGCTGGGAAGTCCAGCAAGTTTGGGGCATCCTCCATCGCGAAAGACAGAGATAGTCCATCTTGCCTAGCTGTGCAACTGCGAAGATGCAAGCGGAGAGTCGCAGAGTGAGATTGAGCCGGACCGCAATTCTGCCAAAGCTCAACCGTCGACGGCGCTGACTAGGTGGAGAAGTTTATCTCGACGTGCTGGTCATTTCTTGTTGATCATGGTGGGCGCACAGCTTTCCATAGCTACTGCAGCAGTGGGTTTTATACGTTCATCGTCCCACCACTGCCACATCATGCCACACATGCGCGTTGTAAGAGTGGCATGATCTTGGACACACCACGTGAGTATCCGAAGCAGATCGCCCAGCCATGTTCCCATCCTTGCGGTCGATTGAGTTTGGGAGCTGACATTGGTCAAGAATCAAGATGCAGGCAGACGTAAAAGCTTTGAGAGTCTCGCAGGAGCTCAAACTCTACAACCAAGAGGCTTACGCTATACCTGAGCTCAGAACGCTACACGCTTACGCTATACTGAAACCCTCGAAGCCAATATGCTTACGCTGTTCAACTTCGGCTGGCCTCAGCTTAGCTGGTCATTGTGCATTGCAGCCTTGTACATACTACGGACTTGCGTCAGCTCCCTTTGGCCTCGCACAACAGGCAAAGCCATCGTCACAGGGAGCGGGACCGCTCAGCAGAGTGCCATTGATCCCAATGCATGGATCAGTCCTGTTCGAGGCCTTGACTACCTACAATCCGATCCAATCCCGTACCGCCCCTACGAGTTCCAGGGTCATGTCACGATGGGCATTCAGAAACGAAAACGAGAAGATTGGATCCGGCTCGACTCAGGATATCTCAACCGAATCGCTGAGCGCAAAGAATTGATCGAGAACAAGCCTGAATACACTATCGGAACTGGAACTCTGGTGAACGATGCCATCGAAGAATTGTACAATGAAATCATGGTCGATTACCTGCCAAAAAGGTTCCCTGACATGTTTCGTGTGAATGGCAAAATTTGCGAAAACATGGCCACCAAGGGGTCGTACCCACTTGACCCAAGCATTCTTACCCCAGCAGAAATGCTGCGACATCTTGGCCTGAACGTAGAGGAGGACTTCTACATTATGTGTCCCGATGCAGAAGACGGCCAATTTCGACTCCGAGGTTACATCGCTTGCTTCCCGGGTGGCTTCCTCAGTCCAGCGAGAGTTGGTGAGAGTGTCCGTGAGATTCATCAGCCCGTTCCTGGATACGACGAGAAACTCGGTCGAAGCGTCGATCGCTACTTCAACCGCATGGTGCCGGGCGACTTCATCGGACGCATGAATGTATGTTTTGTGATGAAGAATATCGATCGAGAATGTGCTAACGACAGTAGTGGTCACTCCAGACCGATGGCGTCGATTTGTTCCGAATCGACGGTAATAACTTCTATCCAGGTCAGGAAGACAGAGAAGACTTCAAAGCCAAGTTTCAACCCAATTTGGACGATTGCTACTTGCGCGTGGAGCACCAGACCTTGTGTGCACTTCCAAAAAGCCGTGCTATCATTTTCTGCGTCCGCTCGTACATGACTTCGCTCCACGACATTCGCAGAAACGGAGAAGGACCGAAGCTGGCAGATGCGATTGAAAGCATGCCAGAAAAGCTTGCGGAGTACAAGATGGTGCCGTACTGGGGGAACATAATTTTGCCTTGGCTGCGTTCATAGCTCGTATAGAGTTCACCGGACTATTCTTGCGTGCATTTAAATAGTTCTACAGATACAATATTGGTTGGCGTTCGTAAATCAGATACCTTAGAATACAAACAAAGCATATTTCGAGTCCCGCGTTGATGTCTCAGTATCGTGATCGTGTGGTATTCAAGCCTCCTTTTGACACCGGATCGTGCGATGTTCTGATGCCTGCTCGCGTGCGACAAGCACATTCAACAGGCTCTTGAGTCGTATCACCTTGCTTGATGCTGTAGTGAGCTGGTCAAAAGCAGTGGTATCTGAGAGAGACTGAATCGAAGCGAGGTAAAGGGTACTGCAAGCGTTATATCAATTTCTAAACTACAGCTCGCACATTTGGCTAGTTCTGCAGTAACGCTATCACATCCTCCGTTCTTTCGACATCACAAAATTCATTCTTCATGGTTGCCAAGTGCACCGCATGAACAGTTTCAGCATCGTAGGACTTTCCCTCAAACTCCACGTCGAACGTCGCTGTCCCATCACTGACAAGCACCAAGGCTCCCCGTGTCGACTCATCCAAATCCGGAATGCCGTAGCTGTGCTTGACAACGTTGAGATTCGACGCCATGCGGACCGTCGTAGCAACACAATGTGCTGTCATCAGACCGCAGACGACTAATCGTTTGATGGCTTGGTCTTGGATGGACGCTTGCAGCGTCGTCTCAACGAAAGGAGAGTTCGTCGTTTTCGGGAACACTTTCTCCCCAGGAGCAGGAGCAGCGTAGGGCATGAAATCTGAGCTTTCTTTGGAGGGGTGAAGTGGCGAAGCTTCGAAGGTGGAATGATGACAGACATGAAAGATCGGTGCTCCAATTTTGCGAAATGCGGCCAAAAGTGCAGCAATATTAGCCTCGAATTGTGGCGTAGACCGAGACGATCCCCAGTGGGTTGGATGATCGAAGCCTTTCTGAATGTCGATGAGAAGTAGTCCCGTCTCCGCTGGGAGATACTTAGGCGCCATAATGTTGGAAGATGTTGACGATTCTGTTCCAGTAACTGGTTCCGGAGACCTTTTGTGCGATCGAATGTTGTAAAAAGGCGTGAGGTCGAAGTTGGCACCGAATGCAGTGATTGGTGCTCTCTGCGAAACCGAGACCGAGGTCAGTTCTGCGCCCTTCGTCTTCCTGATCGAACACTTCTGCAAAAAAGTGGTATCCGGCGCACAAGTCATCAAAGTCGCCTCAAGGCGGCGCTAATTCGCACCATCCCATCGCACTGGGGCCCAAGAAGGCCTTCGCCACGCCGGGCGTCAGACCGCTGCATCACACATCTTTGACGCATCATGGCCACCACTTCGAATGCGGCAGAGATAGGGCCACAGACGCAGCTGGATAATCAACAGTGGTGGCTGCCGAAACGTACATAGTGATGGTGGGCGCACTGGTACCACCATTGAGCATGATACCACCAACTGCAGACAGGGCATCCATGAAGCTCCCTGGGAGAAGATTGAGTTTAATATCACTGCATGAGGTTTTCCTGGGACGCCCTGCAACTGACAAAGACAACAACAGCAACTCCACAATGCCACAAACCAACAACGTCAGTGCTGCAACCGGAATTGGCCGATCGGAAGACTTCTGGATCAAGCAGTTTGAGGGAGTTGATGCGGCAGCTTTTCCGCGGGCACCTGCATCTTCCAAGAAACCGAGCAAGAACACCGCTTCAGCTGCCGTACAGTTGCCGAGCCCTAGTCAGAAGTACCCAAGGAAGTCTGTATCGGAAGCTGCCAAGATCCTGCTCGTGGCATCGTGGGCACTTGTACTAGGTCGTTACTTGGACGTCACCGATGTTACATTTGGATGCTTCCATCCACAGTCACTGGAGAATGTCGTGCCCCAGCGTATCCAGATTCCCGACTCTGCTTCCATGGCAGCGTACCTCCGCATTGTGGAGGAGCAGATTATTCTCGTCGAACAACAAGTCCCCTCGTCCATCAGCGAGATTGCAAAGTTGAGCGAGTGGACGAGTCAGGCATGCCAGGCGATTCAAAACGTTCTTGTAATCAACGACAACACAGGGTATGAGTCAGAGGTCTTCTCGGAGCATTTCTGGAATTCCACTGGAGCTCTCGCCCAATACCCTCTACTGCTGGTCTGTGACGTGACCCAGGAGACCTGCATGACATCTCTGAGGACTTTTTTCGACCCTAGGGTCGTTGCATCAGAGCAAGCAGATCGCATCACGGCTCACATTGAACATGTCTGGAAGCAATTGCTTGCGTTGTCCTCATCCACTGAGCAAACGAAGGATGTCGTGTTGCTGAATGAACGCGATGAGAACGATATCATGCGCTGGAACCAAGACATACCGGAATCTATCGATGATTGTGTTCATAATTTGATCGACCGGCGGATGGCTCAGCACCCTGAAGCCGAAGCAGTGTGCGCCTGGGACGGCAGCTTGACCTTCCGCCAACTGGACCATTTGTCGGGACGATTAGCATGCTATCTTCGTGACTTGAGTGTATCGTGCGAAGACTTTGTCCCACTCGTGTTCGAGAAATCTAAGTGGCATGTCGTCGCCATGATCGCCGTCCTTCGAGCTGGAGCTGCATTCGTTCCCCTGGATCCATCAAACCCAAGCGAGAGGCTTCGGGACATCGTTGCGCAGCTTCAACCGAAGGTCATACTCACATCTCCGACAGCGAAGGAGAGAACTGGAGAGCTTGGATCTGCTCAGAAACTTCTGCTGTCTGCCAACGCAGAAGACTGGCTACCGATGGAGGAGTGGACTTCTCAGACCGTCAAGCCATCCAACGCCATGTATGTTGTCTTCACGAGCGGCTCTACCGGCAAACCGAAGGGGGTTGTGATAGAGCATGGCATGTTTTGCTCCAAGGCCAATCCACGATGTGAAGTCCTCGGTCGGAATGAGAACACACGTATCCTACAGTTTGCGTCATCCAGCTTCGACCTCAGTATCGAGGACGTGTTGCTCACCATCATGTACGGTGGTTGTGTATGCGTTTCCTCGGAGGAGGATCGCGTGAACGATCTCGAAGGCGTGATGCAGCGAATGCGGGTCACTTGCGCACACATCACGCCCTCGATTGCGAATACTTTGTATCCGGAGAACCTCCCTTCGCTTCAGCAGCTTCGACTGGGAGGAGAACCGATGACGAGGCAGCACGTTCGACGCTGGGCACGGATGCTGGAATTGAAGAATGCCTACGGCCCGACCGAATGCACCGTCACTGCGGCCGTCTCCGAGCGTCTATCGCTGAACTCCGATCCTGCAGACCTGGGCAGAGCTGTTGCGTGCCGGTCTTGGATAGTCGATGCAAGTGATCACAACCGTCTCTGTGCCATAGGATGTGTGGGTGAGCTGCTCCTCGAAGGACCCATTCTAGCACGCGGCTACTACAATGAGCCCGGGAAGACCGCAGACAGTTTCATCTTCGATCCAGCGTGGTGTCTGCAGGCCCCATTTCTTGAACACGGGAACCAGAATCGACGCTTCTACAAGACTGGTGATCTTGTCGTGTACTTACCCGACGGCCGTCTCAAATACATTGGCCGAAAAGATTCACAGGACAAGTTGCGCGGTCCGTATCACATGCATTCTCCTGGCGCGTCATATGCTAATTCGGATTGCAGGTCAACGCCTCGAGCTGGGAGAGATTGAAACACATCTCAGGAATTGCAATCTTGAAGTCGATGATCTGGCGGTAGAAGTAATTCGACCATCAGCCGACCCTGCTGATGCATGTCTTGTCACGTTCTGCGCTCTCGGCGATTATTTTGCCAAAGGAGAAGAAACAGCGCTAGGAATTTCTGCTACCGTTCGGAACAAGTTGGCAGAAATCGCAACGTCCGCGAAAGATCGTCTGGCCGCCAGTTTGCCTTCCTACGCGGTGCCATCTGTGTTCTTGCCCTTGAAGAGTTTGCCTCGCACAATCTCTGGGAAGACTGATCGGAAGGCTTTGAGGCATCTTGGATCGTCGTTGGGTAGTCATGGATTGAGCATCTTCTCATGAGGCGGCAATGGCAGGCCACAATCCATCGACTATTCCTGATAGCATGACCAGGTTAAGTGAGGAGTTTCAATCCCGCTGCACTCAATTGTGAATAGCAGACACAATGCCATTCGCCGCGTGCTCCACACAGCTGCCGTGCATGCAAGCCAAATTGCCGTATTTTCTCAGAGCGTGTATGTATAGATTGATGCGGCCGTCTTGCCAGCAATACTAACGGAACTCTATGCCCAGCTCGCAGTGGGTTTCTGTAAATACAATTTCACCTTAGCAATGGCATCTGATTGGACATCAGATCTCGATTGTCGGAATGCGAATTGTGAACCTCGCATTGTGTGTATACAGGAGCAAACCGAGTGAAGCATGGCAGGCAAAATTGCTATTAGACACAAGTGATCAAGGAGTACTGCGATACGATGGTAACAAAAGAAAAGATAGTGGCCATGGTATTAGTAGGGGACAGCGAATGTGGCACCTCGCTGTGCATGGCTCGAGCACCTTCAGATCATGTTGGCTGGGCTCCTCGGCGTGCTCCTTGTGTTATATCAAAACAGCAGCAAAATGTAGATTCCTCCTTGTGGACAGCGAAAAGTAACTCGAGAGACATCCACACTTCATCGTCTCTTTACGCGGCTTTGATTTTAGGGCTGCCTCGGTGGTTGATATTGAATGTCTTCAATTGATTCAATGTGGCAGAGACTGCAGCAGCGCAGAGGACTACACGACTTTGAACGGATAGACTTGAGTCTAACCTGGGCGTGCTTGTTCTGCTTTCTAAGGACATTCTGCAAGTCGGAGGCTTGAGTCATTTGGAGTACTAGCGAAGCGTCATCATCGCTGTTGAGAGGCACCACGGCACACTACGCTGCGAGGCTGAATGAAGAAGCATGGACTTCTTTTACTCCTCAGATGAGGGAAAGCGGTACGTTCGATGAGTGCTCAGGAGACTTGCTGACGCACATCTTTCCGTCGCGGCCACCATCGTAAGCTGGGCAGGCTCTGTTCTGTCAAAGAAAGGCATGATTTCTGCAATGGCTCTGGACATCTGAACGCGTTTTTGGTGAGGCATAGATTGATTATCTCATCGTAAATAATCGATATGTGAGCTTTTAGACTACGCAGAGTAAACCGAACGACATGCGTCCAAACCTCCACTGACCCTTCACCTGCTTGCAACAGCTGAGCTTACACCATTACCAATGGTCATTCTTACTAAATTCAAACACTGCAGCAGGCATAAATGGTAGAAGCTCTTCGCCTGGAATGGAGTGACTCCGCGCTTTGGAAGCATTACAAGATTCTGTGTTGTGCGCCGCCAGACACGCTTTGCATTGTTGCCCATGTGACAATGAAGTATCGGTCAACATGGGCAGGGAATTGCGGGCAACTGATTGCGGAACGTTGCATTCAACGCTTAGCATTTTTCTGCTTTCTCGTCTGAATCAGCAGCTGCCGCCGTTGCGTAGATGCGCCTGGCGCGGTAGTCTCCTATGAGAACCAAGACCAGGAGTTAGATTGCAATAGCGAGAAGCAGGACAACAACTTTGATGCTATCATGCTCCATAGTCGTGGCCAGGAAAGTGAGAAAGTCTTCCTGCCGCCATACCGGTATCAGGTCTTCTTTGAGACACAGAAGATGGTCCGCTCCCCCAGCTGCGCCCTGCTTCCACGCGTCGCAAGTTGTAAACGGGCTTTTCCAGATCACTTGTCCAAAGATCACGATATCTGTCTGTAAGACGAGGTCGGCCAGAAAAGGAGCCATCATCGCAGAGATCAGCGGAGGGAGAAACACAAAGGTCCAGCAAAGCAACAGCTTGTGACTCGAGCGGCGAAGAAGGCCAGTTTTCCCCAGAATCGTTAAGCCCAGCCAAGGACCGCCTAGGACTCCCCCGAGATGAAGGACTATGGCGCAAATGCTCCAGTATAGGCACCACGAGGGAGGTTCGGGTCTAGGTAATGGTGCACTTGAATTGTCCATGTCGCGTATAGAGCCCAGAGGGTGATAGCCTCGAGCTTGTTGCTGCTGTCGGCAAAGGAGCTATTCTTGTTGATCCCGAAAAGGTGAGTCCGCGCTACAATTATTCGGCTGCCCGTAGAAGATGAATATGAGGAGAACAAGAAAGGCCATAGAAAGTTGAAAACTCTGTTGCCAAGGTTGAAATCGTGGTTCGCAGAAAGTAAGCCAAGCATAGGCTCACATCGGTACCAACGCAGCTGGGCTACGATTTTCCTCGATCACATGCCTCAATCGCATGCTCCGTTCGGATTAGGCCTGCTTCGGTAAACCCCTTCTCCTCTCGAGTTGTAAGTCTAAATCGAGCAGATGGTAGCAATTCACGAACAATGATCTGTAACAGCTGCCACATTGGTCTCTGAATTCTTGATTCCGCCGACCATACGAGAGCTGCTTCGCTTTCTCAACAATTGTCTGAGCCACGCGGCTGAAATGCTTACTACATCTTTCGTCAAACACATGGCTGTGAATCGAGTCAAGATCCCCCCCAGATATCCTTCAGCTTCACCCAGCTTACGACTTTGACTCGAAAATAGCGCCATACTATCGATTCAGTGGTGGCCACGATATTGCATACAGAATAGCAGAAGAAGCCTTAAGTCAGGAGGCGGACATCCAGCCAGACGAACCATTACGATAACGCCTCACGACCTTTCTGGGAATACGCTTCAGTCTCGATTTCTGATAGGCCGTGACGAGCGGGGCCATTGATTTGAACAACGACTGACGCTCAGAGTGTCGTCGCGTTCAGTGGGTGCTTGCGTCCATCATCACAGCACGGGGAGGATTGGGAGCTCTCGTATGGTGGCTTCAAAATTCTATCCGAATCCTTCTGTAGTCCGCACGTAACATCGCCATGACCGCAAAGCAGCAAGATAATGTTTCCTCGCGCATGCTAAACTTAACATACATGGCTGCTTGCCGACGGTAGACGGAGAAAGTAGGGAAGTTGTCACTTTCTGTTGTCTCCACACAACCTTGATTCCATGCATGCGCCACTTATGCATACACAATGCCTCGAACGCGCTCGAAACGACGGAGATAACAAGGGCGCAGAAGAATCAAACTACCCCCTTGAAAGGATTTGAGTATGCGTATGATTGCTTCTGCTGCGATTGAAGTGGTGCCATTGCTGAGCCGAGCAAGGCAGGAAAGATCTACGGCCAAGGTCACAAGTGGGGAACTGAACGACAGGAGCGAGTGTAGAACAGGAGAGAGGGTGGAAGAGCTTACGAGAGTCAGCAGAATGAGCATTCCAACCTTCATTCCGTGCGGCAATACTACTCGTGCACCTCTAGCTACATTGATTTGAGTGAGCTCGAAGCGTACTCATCCAGGTACCCTCTTCTTATGGATCATGAAGCAAAGCGAAATGTTCTCGCACACTGAAGGTCGTAAGATCTGGTCAGCCTTTATCGAGTGGTGACGCCGTTCGGGCGTGATGAACCCGCCCACGATCGTTCCTAAGCTCCCGTCTCCGCCTTTTCGTTTAGTGTAGCCGGTCTCTCTTCTTCAGGTTTCATGGGTCCCAGCAAGTAATCCATCGAACCACACATGGCGAGAAGGAATAGTGCCGCCATGAACACAACGACCACCGGGTAACCTGCTGTCAGGAATGACCATAGAACGTTGAGAGCATCTTCACGCTTCCATGCCGTAAATAGGTACTCTTGAGTACATAACAAATGTCTTCCTCCGTTCTTGCCTCCTTGTTTCCACGCTTCGCACGTAGTAAAAGGACTTTTCCATAGTGTCCTGCCGAGAATTGCAATATCTAATTGCAGTACGAGGTCCGAAAGGTATAGAGCCAGGGTCACGGAAAACACCCATGGGATAAATACGAAGATGCAGAGAAGCAAGAACGGATGATTCGAATGGGAGAACAGTCTAGTCTTGAAAAAAATCGTGGATCCGAGCCAACCGCTACACCACATCAGTGCGGGTGTAAGGATCATGAAAATGATCCCCCAGGGAGTCTCCCAAGATGGTGCTTCGAGCGATGTTGGTAATGTAGGCATGTTCGTTATGTTGCCGAGTGTCCCATTGTTGAGTGTGTCCGTTGAGCTGTAGCCCAAAGGCAGCTGTTGTGGCGTCTTGATGGAATCCATTTTTGTTGATTACGGAAGTATGCACTTGCGCTCGAGTTGCGGAGTACCGAGGAACTAATGAAAAGAAGAAAGTGAGCTCGTGAGAAAGAAAACATTTTAAAGCGGTGCCAAGGCAGCACCTTTGGTCGGCGAAAAAGTATCAAGTAGGCCCCGAACTGTACCAACTTTCATCGCCAGAAATGGGTCTCAGCGACGTGTCCCGATCTTAGGATCCACCATGGCTACTGGTTTGCAGTTTGCCCCGTCAACTTGACGCCAAGGTTGCACAGCGAAGTATGGCACGATTTCTGCGCGCTCTAAATTGAGCATCTACAGGCCATTTCTGTGTTATGACTGCCAATTCTTTTCATTATCTCCTTTAGTTCGCCGCAGCTCCTTGTGCACCGCAGTACTTGATGCAGTAATGTTCCATCTCATCACCACCGATGTGCCAAGCTTCCGAATGGCAGTATCCATCGTTCGGGTCCTAGGAAGGCCAGTGTGTCAGCACAAGGTTCCCTCTACCGATGATGATTGCGACTCACGAAGGTGCAGTCTGGGCATCTGTCCCACTGCTTGAAGCCAGTGTTGCGATTACTGTAGTACTCGCATGCACACTTAGTGGCTTCCACGAGCACTTCGTAGTCTTCGTAGTAGGTCATGCTTGGCGAGAAAGGGGTGCCACCTGGATTAGACAGTGTTCGACCTGTGATGCATACTGCAACATTGTGCAGGTGGGCAAGAGTACTATAGTTGACCACGAGTCAGAGCCAGCCCTGAGTTCTTCAACGGCAGTTATGTGTCTTGTGCGCAACGAGCATTTTTCATCAACGCTTTGCCCTTGCCAAGCGGTGCTGGTCTTTGTCGACAGAAGCGTGAAGATACCACGCAGTAACGAGTGTTACAACCCAGCAGGGTAGGAGAAGAAGGGACATACCCAACTGCGATAGTTGCTGCCACCAGTATGGAAGAAGCGAGTCTCATTTTAGCTTTGGAGGGTTGTGGACAGCGGGTGAAGACCTTGGCAATGGACAGTCGTCAAAGAGAGCGGGAAAGAGAGCTGAAATACGGTGCCACTCGTGGTGATTGAGGCCGGATGGGGTATGCTGAGGTCGAATTCAAGCCTTCCCATATGAGACTATCTATACGGCTCCAGGTTGTGGTTCTTCATACTAAGACCTTGGTACCTCCAGCCAGCAGTATGGATAGCCTAGCCTTCTCCCCGTTTTTCCTGGTTGGGCGTGGAAGAGATTGCACATTGGTGGTGCCATCACGTATCATCGACAGCTTGTCTATGTCTGCGGCAATTGAAGGCCTTCTTCTGTAATACTGAGATGGTGAGAAGGCCAATATCGATAGTCTGTCGATCCTCCAAAGGCCGTCGCTTGGCCCGCTTCGGTTGCCATACTGCGGCCGCGTGCACGGATGAGCGAATACTCGATGTACCCTGATGGATCATGTGCGACAATCCAGAGCCACGGCGCATATGAGGGTCAGATTTGGTTAGCATAAGTTGGTTTCACCACGGGCAGAGTAGCTCTGTCTTGGTCTTCGCTATGAATAATGCCAACGTGACCGAAGTTGCGTGTCCAGATAGGATTCAATGTTGAGAAGGCTTGAGGAGGTACGAATCCGACGGTCGTAGGTGATTCACTCGCCACAGAGCATATATCTGCCGAGAGCATCGGCTGTAAGACCGCTGTTCTTCGATCGATGGCCACCGTGCCATCTACGGTGACCAAGGCCTATGCCGGTCACTGGAGATCAATGTACATTCTGGCCGTCTGACAACTTGTAGGATTCATTCACAGACCTCTGACTTCCTGACCTAGCGCTAGACATAGCCACTTGGGTAGCCCAACATAGCCTATGGGATGCCAAGCTGCCGAAGATTGTCCGCTTGAATTAGTGAACACATCGTCGTAGTTAGTGACTTCGGTCTCGGTTCAGGCTGATCTTAGTCGCACCTTTACAGTGTGTGGATCCCTTCAATAGCAGATCCATCTTGGAGTCAGACTATGACCAAATAGGAAGGTGCTTCGTTTGGCGGGCCACTCGCCTGAAACCATGTACGCTTAAGCAAAAGAGCAAATTTTCGCAGGTCGAGGGGAGGCGTGATTCCCGGCGTTCGCTGGCAGTCCCATCGCTCATGCTGATCTGAGGTCGTCGAAAAGGTGACTGTGCTCGGTCTCGACAGTGCTAGCCCTTCGACCCATCGAGACTCAATATATCCAAACTCTGTCTTCCTCTCCGTATCATCGTCCAACTTTAGCACTATGATACTTCACAAATGTCGTCACTCTATAGCCAATTTCCCGCCTACGCTTGTCTTGAATGCCTCATCGAAGGCATGATAGCAAGTCTTGTCAGTCTTGTTTCACCTGACTCGTTACCGACCATTGATGTGCCTAAGCTGGCCGGCCCGACGGGCATGCGTTACTGCAATGGTTTGCCGACGTTACTTTGTTCGGCTGCAACCGCGTGTGGTCTCGGATATCCATCGGGGGCTCCCCAGACGCTTCACTTCGATGAGTTGAAGAAGTGACCAGAGAAATCCTACGAGGCGCCAGCGTGCGCAGGGTGTCGAGACGACAAAATGAGTTGTGCCACCAGTACGCAGACAAGGGGACCGTGCGTTCTACAGCAGAATTGCCATACCAATGGTCATGCAACCTCTCGTGCAAGTCGGAGCTGCGGGGTCACAACGAGATTCTTCCATTTGAGTGTCCGGCAGAGTATCGTGCAAGGCAAGACAAGGAGCCTTTGGCATTAGCCTGGCCCACGAGAGATGTCTCCAGCACTCCGGTACAAATGCCCAAGGGTTCCGCCCTCTGTGCAACTGCACTCCAACAAGCCTTGACACTCTTTGTTCCACACTCGTTACCATACGCCACATTCCCCAAGATGTTGTCCGAGCTCTTTCTCGGTCTGGTGGCCGCAAAGGTTGCCCTTGCCTCACCTGTTATCAAGCCAGTGGTGGATTTTACTCCAGACACGCTGGCCGAGGCTCAAGAGCTGGCCAAGTTCCTCCAAGACATTCAGAGTCAGAGTGAGTGTTCTTCATCGAGCAACTAGTCGTTGCAGGCCTAACCAGCTTCACAGAGGTCTTCTTGAACCAGACAGAGTGGGAGGATCTCCTTACTCAAAACGGCATCCTGCTCGAACCTCCACCGATCGACTACGACTTCCTCAACTTCACAGCGGACATTGATGTCAACGTCGATGTGGACGTCAATGTGGATATCAACAAGCGCCAGACATGCAAGAACACTCAAGCCAGGCGAGTGACCAAGACCGAGACTTTTGTTGACTGGGACATCCAAATGTCCAACGTGGCATGCGCTCGACAGAGTGCCATCGACATTTTCGTGCAGAGCGGAAAATCCGTCACCAACACCATCGCAGTGTCGGGCAGCGTCGCGCCAGCAAGCATCGTAGGCTACCTTGCGCTCACCTTTGGCGTGGACTACTCCCGTGCCTGGACGTCGACTTCGTCTAACCAGAACAAAGCAACTATCCAAATCGGCAACTGCGGAGCCATGGTCCTCAATCCGACTACTACTCGTCGCTACGGAACTGTCAGCGAGGGTTGTATTGGCGCGGAGAAGCAGATCGGAACTTTTATGGCTGACGACCGTTTCTCGGGCAGCTTCAACGGTGTCGACTGGGTCGCTGGCTCTATCTCTGATTGCCAGACGAAAGCCGACAATGCTCCAATCCCTCGATGCCAAGGTGGCGGATATCTTGTCTAGAAGGCTGCCTTATCGGTAGGCAGTCTCCCTTGCAAGCGCCTGTACGTAAAGAAAGCGGCTATATATCGTGCGAGTGGTGAACGAAGGCGATGAATGTTGCTCGGGACGTTCTACAAACAGGATGTCGGCCCTAATAGGGGGGTCCGTGCGCTATAGAGATTAGTAATTAGCGGTAAGTGAGTAGACTAGCCTAGCTTGTCTTCCGGATAAGACCCCGATCTTAATAGACTATATTAGGTTCGAGCGTTTATATTTTATAGATCTATAGTATTTAGATAGTCTTAATAATAATATAATTACGCCTCTTAATTTTTTTAAAGTTCCTCGCTTCTATAAAGTTATATTTATAGTATAAAAATTAAACCTATTAATATAATAACCGGCTAGCTCGTATATTATATTACGACTTAATCGAGAATAGTTTATATACTATCTACTATATTATTAATAGAAACTAGAGATATATTATATATAAAGTATTCTAGTTAAAGATTTATTCTAGCTCTATTCTAGTATAGATATACTTAGTATATTAGTAAACCGATTAATCTATAGATCGATACTATATTTATATCTAGATCTAGCTAGCGGACTTATAGTTACTATCTATTAAGTCGATACTATTTAGACTAATAACTAAAACTTAAGTTACTATTCTTTTCTTTTACTTCTACTTAAGTCTATTTATTACGAATAGTACTCCTCTATTAACGCTATATATCGGTTAGTCTAGCTATAGTAGTACTAGATTCGAGTCTAATTTAGCCTATTTAAGTAAATAGCTATACTATATAATAGTAGTATAAATATACTAGATCTAATAAAGCTAGATAGTATTATACTAATATATAAATCGAGACGTACTATAGAGTAAAATATTAGACTCTAAGCGAGATATAAGCTTATAAGGTCGTTAGAATATTCTATTAGAGCTACTATACTAGAGTTACTTATAAGGAAAGAGCTTCTTATTAGTATAGAAATTCTAGTATTATAGAATACTCTAATTATAAAGTAGTTATCGCTTAGAGACTATATAAGCTTCTCTTTCGACCTTAGTATTTATAAATTCTTATCTAAAATATATATCTAAGCTTTAGAAAAAGTAAATAGTATAGTAAAATATAGAAATCTAATAAGAACTAACTTAGTTTAACTAGAGTTCTAATTATTATATTAT